AAGTGATGACTTGGTCGAGAGAAATGAAAACCCTCACTTCGAAGTTGGCGTCGGTTGGTGCATCCCGACTGCCTGGCTGGGGTCCTAGGGACGGTGAACACGTTTGGTTGGACACACTTGCTGATGTGGCTTGGAGCTGGCACCAGTGGCGTTTGTGTTGTGAGTTCCTTTGTCCACCCCCCTCCTGTTTAGCATCCCCCTCCAATCACGAGTCTCTCGCGACTCTCTTTTACGGCAGCCAGCTGTTAGCTCTCCGGAATGATGTCCATCCGTTACTGGGGACTCAGCGGGCGTGCCACTGTTTGTTTTCCTTTTCTTGTCTTTTGTATTGCGGCACAATAGCTGAGGTGTTTTCCACCTCCAGCTAACGTGTAATGATGATGATGAAGGCTCTGGGTGCGCAGAAGTTAACTTTACAGAGATAAATGTGACCATTGACTGCAAAATTCGATGCTTTTTGTTCGTCTCGTCTTCCAGGCTAGAGTCTACGTGACCTGACTTGTGCTACGCTTGAGACGTTACAGGATATGCGTGGCAGCGGACACAAGGATCGCGTGTTTTGTCGCCTCCCCTAGTCGGACACTTATGTTTGGTGGGGCAGTAAAAGCCGCAAGGAAGCTGTTTCGCCGATGCGGCCTTATCGTTGCTGGGTATTCACTCTACTGTGCGCATTGAGCTCTTACTTGAATTGAAAATAATTGGATTGTTAGTGGGCCATTTGTGACCGTGTGTTGTTGACAAGTTGTTTGTGGACACCTTGACCCCGAATGTTTGCTTTGCGCTTTATGCTAGGTCTCCTTTCCTCATTCTGTAGGTTGTTGTGGTTGTGTGGCAACGTAACATCAGTTCAAGTGACCGATGTATGGGTGTTGTTGATGCTTGTTTTACGAGGCAGTGAATCTGGTTCTTGTTGGTGCTGGGAAATGCAAACTACTGATAAGCACTGACCCCCGCTACCTGCGTTGTTTGCGCGCCGGCGGTGTGGATGGTAAAAGAGGTGGGGAGGCCAAGCGATGACTTGGTCAAGAGGAATGAAGTCCCTCACTTCGAACTTAACGTCGTTTGATGCTGCCCGACTGCCTGGCTGGGGCCCGAAAGATGGTGAACACGTTTGCTTGGGCACACCAGCTGACATGCCGGAGAGTCGACTTCATGATGATGATGATGATGATGATGATGATGATGATGATGACTGATGATGATGATGATGATGATGATGATGATCGATGATGATGATGATGATGATGATGATGATGATGATGATGATGATGATGATGATGATGATGATGATGATGATGATGATGATGATGATGATGATGATGATGATGATGATGATGATGATGATGATGATGATGAAGATGATGGATATGATGATGCTT